TAAATAAATAAATATTTACCTTTTGTGTTTAGTGGAAAATGCAAAAATGGTTACATAAATGCGACAATTTCATCAAATTTGATTTATAGGTGCGTGACATTGTCAGTCCATTAATGAACATTTCTCTTTGAAAGGATCGTTTGTTTAGACTCATTCATTTTCAATATGAATACAAGATAGGGCTTTTTGTTGTTTACTTCAACTTCAGGTCTAAAGTTGTACCTTAACTCACAAACGAAAAAAATAAATAACTGATTAAAAATCATTACAAAATCTAATCAATAAGTGCATTAGGAACTTTGTCCCACGGCAATCATGTWTTACCAATCAAATCATGTGAGACGCCTGGTTGAAYCGTTACTAGAGTGAMATTTTCKGTCCTTGAAAACATTTGCATTTCTGACCGAATGGCTATGAATAGAAAGGACGATCCAACGTATATACAGTACGATCCATCGTAGATTAATTATGAACTTTTCATTAATTGTGATATAAATGAAATCTGCTTTTAATTCATCAATATTCAATGTACAAAAACTGGGAAAAACCATACGCACCAATATGATGTCYTTTTTTCAAAATTGKAATTTTAACGTTCCACGTGCCTTGAGGATGGACAACAATACGCGATTAAAACGTAGGAGGTGTCTTGCATAGAATYATTTGCCCTTCATTTGAATTGTTCATTAGCAAGAGGTTTGTTRCASGGCTTTGTCCTAACAGTGCGCCTTGTGRCAAATTAACCAAGGACGAAACAGCCATCATTTTAYCAAAGACTAAGGAAGTTTTAATAGCTGAAGACATATGGCTCACATAATACTCGAAGTGTTTGTTCTTGTATCAGCTCTTACTGTTCCAAAAGTACTAGCTGRTGATCCCAACACTGATGCAATTAAAAAGGCTTTACTTGAACTACGTCATTACGTTCAAAAACCTGGACAACCTCTTGGAACACCATTTACAAAACTAATGTCCAAACCATGTCGACGAAAACGCATAGCAATTGTKGGGGCCGGTCTTGCTGGTTTACATATGGCGTATTTGCTGAAGAAGAACAATTATAAACATGTTGTTGTTCTTGAGAAAGATTGTCGTGCTGGAGGAAAAGTCATGACCATCAACCATAACGATGTA